TTTCCCTGCTGCCCTATCTGCACAGCCATTCAAGGGGTCCCTGAGAGGGGGTCTGTTATCCTTATATGGAGAATGCATTGGACAAATATTTGCTTATCAGAACTGGGATGAAGCAGTTTAACACAGCACCATGCACATCATGCCTGTGCGTTTTCTCTGTTTGTTCATTTATATTGGCTCCTGCAGAAAACTTGTAAGTGACTAAACAGGAAAGGTTTCATGGGAGATCAGTTAAGTGATTTCACATAGTTGGTGATACTGTCCAGCACACAATCATGCAGATATCAAGTATTTGGTTTTTTTCAGAGCAGCAGAATTTTCTTGTCTTGATAGCACTTTAAAATGCAGTAAAAGCCTATTTTCAGACCTTTGGTTTGGATAGTTTGGGTTTGAAAAGTATTCTTGTTCTTTAAACAGTTATATAAACTAAGTGGAGGATATGAATTAAAGCGATTAAAGATATATTTTTTCAACATATTAGGATTTTTATTATTTACTGGAGTCATTGCTTTAGAACAGATAGAAAAAAAGCCTAAGTCTTCTCTTCATTTGACATTATATTTGCAGGTCATAAAAACAAGGTCTATCATTTATTTTCAAAGTGATGCACACTAGAGCAGCAGGTGTAGAGCTGAATTGCGTAATATGGGTCAGATGTCCCAGCCAAGATAAGCATTGCACATTCCTCATCACTTATTGTTTATATGGTGCAGCTTTTTTACCAGGACAGACTCCCTTTTTCATGAAGACACAGTACAAGCCATGTTTGTACTCAACCATTTCATAATTAAACTTGACTTAAAAGACAACCCTATTGGTCCAGTTATGATGGTACACTTTGTTTTCTACATCAGCTTAAACCTTGACCCTGTGCAGACAAGTCAAAGAGATATTGTTTAACCCAGACCCTTGTTTATGCTGCAGTGTTCACTGACATGAGCACAAGTAGCCCGATTGTGAGTGGTTTGGATGGCATGCAAGAATTTGTCTGTATAAGTCATTTGACGGCCTGCAAGAGTGTTGTTTCATGAACTATTGAGAAGAGAAGGGTTGATGGGAGTTTCCTTTGGTAAAAACGCGTTGATCAAAAATGACTTTGATGGAAGTGAAAATTGAACCTACTTCTATTTTAGGTAACTTAGGAGACTGAACTCTTCTTGAAATGCAGCCTAATCCCTCACTGGTGTTTAACCTCAAAGTGACACAGCATGACAAATTTCCATGTCTTGGTTTCACTAGGTATAAAGATAGAAACACTTTCACAAGTTTGACTAAATCAATGATCCGACTGTCTCCAGATGTCATTTGGGACCTGTATACCATTAATGTGTGTGTGTGTGTCACGATGGAGTAATCCATATTACTGAAGTGTTACCTCTTTTGGCTCTCCATGATGCATCATCCTCGGTTGAAATAGAAAAAATCATCATTCCCCAGTGTGCAATGTTAAGTGGGTTTGGCACTTGTTGCTTACTTTTGTGAGACATCCAGATGTGTATAGTACAGAATGTTAAATAACAAAATGACAATCCACAGAGGGGTAAGAAATAACAGGAAAGATGAGGTCCTTCCTTCTACGTGGTGTGTGACAAACTCAAGAGCCAAATGACTGAAATTCCAGCTTTGAAGCTCTAATGAAGATACACCATAGTGTTTAACAGACCCACTGAGCAATTTGCATTTTGGCTCTGTTTTGGGCTGGTATGTAAACCCTTATTATTTGCAGATTTTTCTCTACTGGATGAAAAAGAAAATGAGTCATTTACAAACACTGAGGGACACATCTGTAGACGGCAGTGGATAAAGCAGAGCACGAAAAGCATTTTGCGGTCACAACAGGCCCCCAGCAAACTAAATAACCACAGATGAGGAATGCTCCAAGAAAAAGCATTTACAACTTGTGCTTGGAAAAATGTGTTTCTCATCTTTTCGGGCAAGTGATGGTGATAGGAACCGGCTTGAAGCCTCATCTGTTATGGATGAGATACGTCTGTAGATGGAGGTCACTCAGTTGTACACATTGTAAATTTCCACGCTCCTGCCTTATAGTATCAGACGCACTCCTCACCGTGTACTGTAAACACACAGATGCCTAACACCAGTGTTTTCTCCTCCTCAATTTACGTGAGCAAGTGTCCTAAAACATCAAACACGGCTTCATCGTAAAATGAAGTTGACAAAGGACTAAATATAATTCTGTGTGGTTGTAATCAAAGGTGTAACATAAAAGACACTGGTGTCAGCGTGTGACCTGCAATGAGAGCTCTTTTTTCTTGATCCAAGTCCATCTCAACATCTGCTGCCATCTTAACAGTGGAATGCTCATGATTAAAGCCTGAGCACCAACTGATACAAGGACACAGTTGCTCCCCTACTGATTATTTCTGTTCTCTCTCTCCACCTTTACTTGTCCTTGTCCTCCTTTCGTAGAGATCACATTTTAGGACCTATATATACATGAAAACAGATGAAAGTCTGCGTAACGTTTCAGGTAATTACAGTATTGGGATTTTTTTAGCAATGTACATGACTGCGCTTTGGTCCCTCAAAATGGACAAAACCAAATACCTGAAACTAGCTATACAACTGGATGTAAGCAATTATGACTGAGAATTAGTACATTTCAATCATTTCTAAGAAATATGGTTGCAAAAATGTTTATATACAGTATATCACAGTTTACTGCCAGAGATTTGCAATCACCATTAATGATACTGACTAACTAATACTAACTAATACCGAGATATTTACAAATTCTAAATCATAAAAATAAAATGGAAATTTTACCTCCATTTTTATCATAATCTTGCATTTTTCACATACTGGGATTTATTATATTTACATTGAATGGTTTAACTGTGGATGGATTTTCTTTTCTTTGCCTTAAAAGTTGGGGTTAGTTGGGTCTTAATTTGCAGTATTTCTCCCAACAGCAGACTAACTAATGTCACAGTAGTTGTTGATTCAAAACTCATTGACCTTCCGTTTGTCCTCCATCGGTCCTTTGTGACAATCTTTTGCTTATTTGTTTTGAAAGTCTGCTGGTGACCTACTGGTGGCATTTAGCCTCAGGTACATGGCAGTAAAAACAGCACGAGTTTTTACCCTAATATTTAGCCGGCTCCATCTCTACGTAGTCCCACATGTTATGGCTGTGGGCGAGATGCTGTAGCACTGAATAATAGTCGCCCTGTACTGGCTTGGTCTAACACACAAAATGTGTTGTGGGTTTTCTGTTTCAAAACATGCACAGTTTTTGACCACATGCCATGGCGGTCATTTGCTTTTCCATCCTCTGCTAACTCAGACCTTTGCTCTTCGCCATAATTGCTGCAAAGAAAAAGACATTTTACACAAATGACCTTCCCAACGGACAAATGCTGAAGCACAAATCCAACTGACGTAACTTACAATGTCCAACACTGGCCTTTTTTAGCCTTAAAAAAAGATGTATTCGGAAATGTTTCAAATACGAATGTCCTTCTGAGTCAAGCTCTCAGTGCTCTATAAAAAACATTGTATTAACTATAGGCCTTTTAAAAACTGAGCATGTGCTAGTCAATGTGATGTGGTTCTTTCCGCTTTTGCAAAACCGAGGATGTCATGTACTGGCGTTACAGATAAGGGTAACAATGATAAAAAAAAAAAAGACATGTTTACAGTGTTTATTGTAACACGTCAGGTCACCACAAGTTGACAGTGCCGCTTTTTTTTAGAAGAAAAACATATCAGTCAAAAGCACTAATCTCCCAGATAGTTGCTGCAGTATGTGGATTTGTAGTTGTATATTTGTCGTTTAATATGTGTTTCAAGGGCTTAAAGACTTTTAACACATAATTATTCAACATGGGCGTTTGACTTGATGACTTTTTTAGACCATTTTTTACTATTCTGTTACAAGTCCTTTTCATCTATCAAAGGGAGCATCAGCAAAATATTTTCTTAAACCAGGATATTAAATGTATACATAAAATATCCTGTTTAATCACAGGGAAGCTGTGATTGTTCAAGTATCTGAAAATGGAAAAAAAGATCCAAAATGATGGAATTACCAATACAGAAAAATAAAAAAAAAGAAGTTGAACTCGATATTTTGCTTTGTAGATGGTGCGTTTAAGGCGCAAATTGTTGGAGGCTTGTAGAATGTCAAGTAGTTTGTTCTTTTAATTGTATCAAAATAATTAATCTGGTTTATTTCATGAATTAATTATCACAGTTAACTAATTCAT